AGTTTTGTGAAAGCAGTTTTACAAAATGTGACTTTATTAATCAGGCTTGTTAAAAAAAAACTCAAAAATATAAAGAATGTTAACATCAACTCTAGTCCATTATGTCTCTTGCTGTTTAGTAGGCTTAGAATCGCTGAGTTCTCATTGGCTATGAACATTTCTTCAGTATCTACCAGAGTTCAGACCTTTTTGATATGGTATAAAACCGAACGGTTGCTTCTGGTAAGTGAAAGGAGGTACTTGACATGTTGCCAGGACTCTGCTACCCTGAGATATGAAATTCAGTCAGGTATCCTGGCACACCGTGGTGTTTGGGACTTGCAAAATTGACAAACATTATTATGGAAAGTCTGTAAAGCAATGTTAAGAAATCAAATACCACAAAATCTGTCCAAGTAAGCTCATTTAATGTTTTAGGTTTATTTATTTCTATTTTGCTTGAATTAAAAATCTCCCAATCTTCCATTGGTCTTTATACCTGTAAAATCATAGTGAAAACCACTAGCTTATCATTCTCATAACAATTCCAAATGGTCAGTGAAGCAGGTTCTATCCCCATCTGACAGATGAGGAAACTGAAGCTGAGAGCGCTAAATAACTTGTTCGAGATTGTCAGTGACAGAAGGAAAGCTTGCACTCACAAAGCCCCTGATTCTGAGTTCAGTGATCTTTCCCAACAATAAAAGTCATGCAGACTGTAGACCAGGCTGTTTCGAACAGTTGGACAAACAGGCCTCGGATCAAAACCAAGTCCTATTACTGACTTGACTTTTGAAATCAGATCCATTTTTTAAGTCTCTCTGCATCCCAAGTTGGTCATTTGTAAAATGGAGTTAAAATTATAAAATACACATGGCACAGAATGGGCACGCAACAAATATTAGTTTCCTTCTCCACCCTTTCTCCTACAGGATCCCTGAAATCTAAGCAGACCACTCATTCTCTGGTGAAGCATATGGATGATCAGTGAACACCTAAGTAGGTATAGAAAACCAACTCACGGGTTGTGGCTATAATAATAACACAACAATAAATTCATTGTTACAGGCTACAGAGACCATAGCAGAAACTGTGGTCATGCATATGTACTATTATAGAATAGCCGAGAGAGTGGTTCTTTGACACTGAGTCTTTTTTAAAGGGGTCAAGTCACTCAAAATGTCACATCTTGAGCTTATTCTCTGCCATCTGATATGGCTCATTATTTCCAAACATAAAATATTCAAAACACATCAAAGAAGTATTAATTATTTCCAACTTATGGCATGGCTTGAGACTCTTGACTGGTGGTACCCTCCCAGCTGTCTTGTCCCCCATCAGCCAGAAGTGGGAGTCCCCAGGAGCACCCAACTTGTCAGTGCCACAAGGGAAGTTTAAATCTGACTCCTTTAAATCTCCTCTCTGCTGGCCCACTTGGGTGAGGATGGGGCGGGGGTGCTCACAGACAGACACTAGCAAGGGATGGGCCTGAATAGGAGAGGGGCTACACAGACAGCGGATGTGAGCAGGAGAGCAGCAGAAGCTCAAGGTAAGCACAGATGCTGTTATCAGAAGGCATGCATAGGTCGGCTACCAGAAAAGTTAAGCAATTTTTAAATTTGATGCTAAAAATATTAAAAAGCACAGCATTATTTAGAATATTTCTTCAAATTTCAATCTAATGCTAGAGAATGATGTGACAGGAACTATCTTACATATGTGATTCTGGCTCTTGGCACAATCCTGCAGAACTGGAATTGTGTTACTGCATATGTGGGTGGTTATTAAATGCTTTATGATGATGATGTTCAAAGTCATATTCCTCATACACATAACCTCACTTGCTATTATGACTTGGACGTGTACATGAGTAGACAATGGTCTCCTTCCATTAAATGCAACTGGCTGAAATGACTGTTTAAGTTGCCAGGTTGCAAGAGAAAAGAGATCAAATTAATGAGGGTGAAGTTGTATAATCAGTTTATAAAACAAATCATGCCGAGGTCAAGGCTGACATCACCAACTCCCACATATCTAAGTACACTTAAAAATGTGAACTTCTCTTTTTTCCCACTACCATTGCTCTTATTCAAGCTGTTTCTTATTTCTCTTCCATTCACAGGCAGCGGACAAATTATTTACTTTGGCACACGCCAATATGGTCATGTCACCCGTCTCAGAAACCTCTCAGGGCTTCCCACTGCTTGAGAGGCATTGGACCAACTCCTCAGCAAGGCATTCATGACTCTCCTAAATTTGGCCCATCCTTCTAATTCAGTGGTTCTCAACCACTAGGGGAGCCTTAAAAGAAAAACAAGCTTAGGTCTGATGCCCCAGAAATTTTATTTATTAGTTCTGGGGAAAGATCCAGGACTTGTATTTTTAAAAATATCTATGGATAACTCTTATTCACTGCCAGGGCTGAACCGCTGGTATAATTTCCCCACCTATTATTTCACCCAATATGAACTAAAACTTCTGTTCTAGCCAGTAATGCTGTTTCTGTTGGTTTCTTGGTTTTTATACCTCTAGTCCACTATTCACGCTGTTAATCCAACCTGGAAGATCATTTCCTCTCCTAGCTCTTTATTTAAATTTTCACCATTCCTCTAAGACTACCTGAAACCCCACTGCTATCTCTACATCCATGGTGAATCAGAATGATATTGCCATTCAGATCATCTGAACAGCATTTGTTACCCTCATGAAGTATTTCATGTCAATTAATAGCATTGTTTGAACTGTGAGGGTTTCTCTCATACTTCACTGCCTGTATTTCAGGCTCCTGGAGGGAAAGCAAACTTTTCATAATACTCTGGTTCTCCTTCCCTAGCCCCTAGCATCCATGACAGCATGAAGCATGAAGCAGACATTCACTCCTGTGCTCCAAGCTTATGATGACTGAACAAATTAAATCCTCTAAAATTTATGAAGTGTTTTTCTTTACTCTGACAACACAAACTGTCAACCTCCAGGATTGTTTATGTACACACTGACGTGGTTTTCATGGGAAACATTACTATGCCCATGTAGACATGAGGAAATGATAATTACTGGTCCACAGAAACTGACGTGATGTCAAATATAAGGTTGATACCTATAAATGTGTTTTTCTTAATAGAAGCATTTTCCATATTATATTCAATTCCCGCAAGTTTGTAGAACAGGAAGGGGGGGTGTAATAAAAACAGTTCCTAATCTATCAATACCTGACTTAAACATGACCCACCCATGTGATACGACAGCTGAAGCCCTGTTTACCATCCTAACCTAGTGTGGGGAGGACCTGGAGAGCAAGGGTCCCTGGCCCTCAATTTAGAAGACATGAGCGTATCAGCAACCTACAGGTAAGTGTCTCTTATGCAAATAAGAGCCATAAACCTATTGGCATGAGAGCATCAAGTGCTTAAGCCGCTGCCAGAGCCCCAGCCCAAGCCCTCCTGTTCTGCCTCTGGGGCATGATGGGAGATATGCTTCCATATACAAAGCTAGAATTTCTCTACAAAACAGTGTTACACATGGTGGTTGCCTGTAGTTAAAATAGTACTGGTATTTATGAGTTAAATAGTCTTGGGAGGGCTGGCTGAGAACCTAACCACTATTTATAAGATTGTTTTTGTGGAAAAATGCTTTCTGCATTCCAAACAACAGAATTAGACAGGAACTTTTGGAATACCATTTATTTCTTAGGTTGAGAACTGACTGTGTCTTGTTAATTACACTATGGTCAGTATTTTCCCAGGATAAGATGGCAGAATGGACATCTGCCAGGAGTGCATAACAGCAATGAATAGTTGCTGTGAATATGAACCATATGTGTCTATAAGGATGAAAGACTGCTCAGATGATGGGAGAAAACTCCAGGCACAGTCTTAATTTATTAAACCAATATTTACTGAGCACTATTAAAGGCTATGCTGCATGCTGTGAGGGACAAAACTAAGTCAGAGAAGAGGTTTGATTGTATAGTCCTTACAACCTGGGATGGCAGATAAGCCAGACAGAAACACAAATAATAAAGCTGCATGGTAAAATGTGCTATCTTAGTGATCAAAACAAAATGTAAGATAAAGTCAGCAGACTGAGGCGAGCTAGTGCTTCCAGCTGGAGTGATCAGGGAAAGCTTCATGGAGGAGCCTTGCACCGGCTGAGCCTTGAGAACTTGCACAAGATTTCAACTGGCAGAGAAAACAGTAAGGGAAGAGCAGGGGACATAATAGAAAAAAAAAAAGTGCAAGTCAAGACACAGACATGAAGAACAATGAGAATTTAGAGAATAGCAAAGAGTCCAGTTGGGTACAGTGGGGGATATTTTTAGGAACTTGGTTGGTGGAGGGCTTTGAATGCGGGCAAAGTGGCAGGCATTCCATCCAAGAGTGAGTGGGGAGCCATTAAAGGGTTTTAATATTAATATTATCAGAGTGATTCTATATGCAGATCTATGTGGCAGCAGAATACAGAATGGAGGAAGAGCGAATGAAGACAGAAGACCATTAGGAGATAATTCTAATAGTTGAGGTTGGTTAAGATGACTTTTCTAAGCTAGATTTTCTCAAAATACATACTTAAACATTTAAGGTTCAAGTGTTAGTTAATGGCAAAATATCTCCCTTTACTGACCAAAAACACATAAATCACTTAGAAAAGCCATATAAAGACTTAAAAAACTGAAAAAAAATTATTTACAATGGAAAAACCATTTTAAAAACATTAAAACATTAAGTTTAGCACATAGTCAGGATTTGATGACTAGACTTGATACAAAATAAAGGATTACTCTGAAGTGTTCAGTCTCATTTTAAAAATAATACCAGGAGTTTAAACATTACATTTTTGATAAGCATGTGAAATTTAATAAGAAATCATCTTTCCACTATTTTCCAAGATGTGTGACCCAATATACAAGGTGGCTAGAAGATATTCTGAGAAATCAGAGAGTTGAGAGAGAGTCAAAAGGAGTGGACTTAATTCTTTCCATTCAAAATCTAAGCTAGTGCTAAGATGGACGTCAGCAAACTTACTTGAAGTGATGTGGGTTGGCAAACGTCTTCTAAACTTCAAATTTTCAGTATTGGATGAGACATGGCATTCATCTTTCTCTGAAAACAAATTTAATGGAAGTAATGAAATTTGAAGAATTGATAGGTAGCTTATAGACGCCAATTAGATGAAACCTTAATAATCATAAAAATTATATGAAGTCCTATAAAATTGATATTATTTATACTATGTATAATTTAAGGATTTATGATAAAATCTTGAGCTATGCTCAAAGACTTCTAAAATAGGAGCTATGATACAGTCCTTTCATAGAGTTTTATGTCAATTTCCTAAAAATTCTGGAAAATATATTATTAGATATCTATCCTGATTTACACTGAATTACATATTTAAAATTTAGCCAACAATCAAGCCCTATTCAGTACTAGAGCAGGGAGAGATGAAGTTGAATAAGACATACTTCTATCCTCAAGAAACCCACAAACCACCAGAGAAGACAGACAAATATGGATAACTCGGTATCAAGGCAGATACAATACAAGTAAGTGCTATAAGTTATACAGATGCTATGGGATTTTGGAGAAGGTTAATTATGTCAGGGAATGTGTGGGAAGGCACTGTGTTATGGAATGAATCGTGTCTACTCCACGTCCCGTGACTATATGTATATATAATTATAGTTGACATACAATTTTATTTCAACATCAGCTTCACATATACAGTACAGTGGTCAGGCCTCTACCCCGACTATGAAGTGGTCTCCCCAACAGGACATGAGTCCAACTGGCCCCCTAAGAAATATTTAAAACATTATTGATTATATTCCCCAGACTGTCTTTTCTATCCCTGAGGCCATATTGTAGTTGCCAATTTGTATTGTCTCGTCCCTTCCCCTTCTCCTTCACCCCCACCCCCTTCCAACTAGCAACCCTCAGTTATTTTAGGCAAAGAAGCCACATTGTATGGTGTGAGAGCACAAACAGTCAACACACTTCTATCATAAGAATATAGTTTGGGGGTAAGGAAGAGAAAAGTAGAAAGTAAGGGAGGGAAAGAGGATGAGAAGGAAGGAGGAGGGAGGCAGAGGCAGGAGACGGAGAGATCAAGAGATAGATAAGACTGGAATCTGGGGTTGAATAAAATGGGTTGAATACTACACTCATTACACGGAGTTTTATTTTATACATAAAAGGAGCCATCAAGGGTTTTTCAGTAGAAAACACATTCGAATTTGTGTTTTAAAAAGATAGCTCTGGTTTGGGAGTAAGAGTTACGGTGAGAAGATTCAAAAGGTAGTGAGGCCTGTTTTGTTACTACAATCGTCAAGGTAAGAAGAAACCAATGGAAGTAAAAAGCTAAAAATTCACTGAAGACATGCTTGAAAACAACCTGAATAACCACCCCATCAGTTATGCAAGACCGAAAACTGGAACAATTATCGCCATTCATTTATACAGTTACAAATGCCAAGTGTCTTGGGCCTCGGCAGACCTTTCTTTTCAATCACGACCATGTGTTGTGTGCATCAATCATTACCTTAAGAAATCAATCAATCCAAAGACTCACTTACTTCTGACATCTTACCCTAGAACTTCAGAGCTCAGCCTACAATATAATAAAAAAAACCCTGAAACTCATTTCCTTAAAGGAAAGATCATTTGTGTGATCTCTCTTGCTGCAGCAAGTCCATAGAACACTTTGCTTATCTCCTGAAAGATTATTTGTTTAAGAAGGAGGCTTTCCATAAAAAATTGTTGTCCATCAGTAAAGTCAAGGAAGAAAAGAAAAAGGAGGAAGCACCCTGTCCTGCCTTTTCAAGGCAGAAGAAGGACTAAGAAGAACTTAACAGTCACTGGTGACCTTAGAAAGAAATTTCAGGAAGGCCATAAAAAAGAACAAAAACTTCAAATAATTGTGTGATTAAAGAAAAAGGAGAAGTGGAATTAACTAGTACATTTTGCTCTTCTAAGAAGCTTGGCATCATCTGAAGATGAAACTGAATCTCTAGCAATATTTTGTTGTTGTTATTGTTTTTCATTTTTTAATGCTAGTTAAAGGGAGCTATGTAGAGGGAGAGTGATAAATAATGGAGCAAATTCAAGAGAGGATGGGAACAAGAACTCTGGTAGAGTTAGCCATATTGAGGAGGAGAAACAGTTCTCTATGATTAGAAATGGAGGAAAGGATGGGTGATGAATATAAATAAAAATTGTGTGTCAGGAAGTAAAGTTGAGGGAGTTCAGATCCAATGGTAAGGCCATCTAATAAGATAGAGATGAAGAAAGAGGGAGAGAGGGAAGGAAAAATGGAAAGACAGTATATGAATGAAGGAATATCTGAATTAAACAATTTGAGAGCTAAATAGCGTGAGAAAAATAGAAAGGAAAAGAGAAGGGAGTTTTAGTATTTGAGATCTTAAAATGATCTGGTTGATAGAACTGAGCAAGTTAAAAAATGAGTTCTGGATGTCAGAAAGTCAAAAATATGAATTAAGAGAAACAGATTATAATGACACGGTGTGGGGTGGAGAGTTTCAAGTCTGATGCTGAATCACATAACTGAGGAAGTTGTAGCGATGCTCTGAAGTCAACCAGTAACAAGAGTTAGAAAGGGGGATGGTAGCCTAGGAGTTAGAAGAGAAGAAACAATGCACACTGATCCCTGAACTGACAGTGGAGGGCAAAGGAGCACATCAACTCTCCTTTAAAATGTAGAGATAGAAAAATTGAATGCTTTTCCTTGAGATGGCTGTGGGGTAAAAAAAAAAAAAAAATGGCACTGTGTACAAAAGCCAGGTTTAAATTTCTGGGAAGGACAGGGACGAAGAATTCTGGGGAAAGAGCAAAGTTATAAACGTGTTCAAAATAGAGGGTCCCGATGACATGAGGAACCTTTGGAACTAGGTCAGCAGTGGAACTATGGGTTCCATCTGAGCAGAGTAGGTCTGACTCTTAGGAAAAGGAGAGAGTGAGTGTTGAAAGGTGACAAAACACCATCCTTCCTCTCTCTGCCTTATCTGTTTGGTGAGATTGGGCAAAAGTCTGACAATGTACGTCACCAGTTTCTCACTCTCGCTTAGAACTTGCTTTCCCAAAACCACATATATTTGCCTCTCATTCACATGGTAAACTCAACATGGCAAGTTAAGTCAATGCAATGTTTGAAGGGGCTGGAAGATGAGATGCAGATCTAAGCACACTCATTTACCCCGTTTCCCCACAGATGAAGTTGACATTTTTATTCTAATCTAAGTTATGTCTACTTCGCAAAGGGCTCAGAAGTTAGAAGAAAAATATGGCATAATTGGTCCCCTTAAACTCCAACGAAAGTATTCAAAGTAAATACGTTGAAATCAATCTGAAAGAAACTACGGAAAGTGGGTTGAGAGTAGTCTTGACAGCCACAATGAAGTTTTAAATTTCCTAAAAACATTCAAAAACCTAATACTGAGACCTAATTCAGTTGATTACTATTAGAGGTGGAGAGATTACTCATTATGGATTCTATGTCTTTAAAAGATATAGTACTATTCAAAACTTTTACTTCATTTTGTGTCATCTTGGTAAGTTGTATTTTTAAAGGAATCTGTCCACTTTACGTAAGCTATCAAATGTATTGACATAAAGTCGTTTGTAATATTTTCATATCCTTCAGATATTTCTTGGACCTCTAACGACATTCTTTTTATACTTATATTAATTTAAGCTTTCTCTTTTTTCTTAGTAGTTTATCAATTTTGTTAATCTTTTCCAAGAAACAACTATGTTAATTTTTTCTATTTTATGTCTTCTTTATTATTTTCTTCCTTCCAGTTTATTTGCATTTAATTTGCATTTCTTCTCCTAGTTTTTTGAGACGGAAACTTTCAACCTTACCTTTAAAAATAATGCATTTAAGAGAAATGGCGGCTCCCCTGGGAGGTATGTTCTCCGGGCCCCCGCCGGGACTCCCGGGCCAGGCTTTGCTTCTTTAGGCCGCATCAGGTGCTCCGAGATCTTCTCCGGGTACCTTGGTGGATAAATTGGAGTCATCTTTCGAGGCCTGCTTTGCTTCTTTAGTGAGTCAGGACTATACCTGACCAAACCGCAGCATTGGCAGCAGGTGCTGGAGGACATCAGCGCGCAGCACAAAAAGCCAGCCGAAGTCCCCCAGGGCTCGCTGGCCTACCTGGAGCAGGCGTCTGCTAACATCCCTGCACCTGTGAAGCAGACCTGAGGAAGAGCCGGCCTGACCGGGAGCCGCTGTGAGTCGGCCTAGGCACAGAGCTTCTGCCAAACATCGCTCCTTGAGGACACTACGTTTTAGAAGAACTCTTTGCCAGAGAACGAGATGCTTTCACTTTCATGCTCCCACCTAAAACTTTCCCCCTAGTTTTATACGCTGGTATTTCTTTACTACTTTATAAAATGCCTGTAGCTTTTGTAAACCAAGTAGATTTTTTTTTGTTTGTAGCAAAATTTAGACTTAGTGTGACACCATGGACAGATTCCTTTTTATGTTTCATTTTTCTTCGTTATTTTTTACATTTTTGTGTAACTTAATCTCTGTGTGTTTCTAGTTTTAGATTAGATTGTATCATCTGAGGAAAACCCTGTGTGTGATCTGATCTGTGAATCTGAGGGTGAGGATTCTGGTTATAGGCCTTTTATGTTAATAAGCCCTCAGTGGTGGTACGTAGAAATATGTAAATGTGCCGTGTTTCAAGGCTGAACTACCTCAAGAACAGGAATCTCATGCAACCAATGTTTATAATGCCTCCAGAGCTCTCAGAATGGGGATATTTTCGACATAGGTTGGAGGAGGATTGTAATACCCTAGAGTAGTGGAAATATTACAGTGGGATCCTTATGTGGATGTTGACTTTTATTTGAGTAAGTTTAGATTTTATGTGACCTTTACTTTTTTAGGTTGGGAGGGGATGTAGCAGAAGCAGTGATGTGCTAAATTTTGTTACGTCGTACGGTAATGAATCAGCTTAAGTAACAGGGCAGACCCTTTCTCACTAGCTCTGCTTGGGCAGAAGTGAAGCATGAGGGTTAAAGGTCACTGTGATGTCTCTTTTTGGTGTGAGTTTTATTTGCTTGTGTTGTTTTTGCTTTGGAGCAGAAATTTTCCATTAAGGAAGACTCATGTTGGTGGATCGTGTTCATCCGCGGGCAGGGGCCTTGGGCTGGGGAGGGGGCTGTGGGGTGACCCTTGGCGTCGTACCCTCCACAAAGAGGATGTGGAGCCTCAGCATTGGGGACGATGGTTGGGCCCCTTGATGGTCCCACAGGCCAACATGATTCTCTGTTGATGTGCTGCTCTGGGCTGGCATTGTGTCTGGCTCTCCCTGGGTGACTTTCCTGCCTCTGTGGTTTACAGTCTCTTACTAGATTACATCCCTTTCCCCAAAGCAAACCTTCCACTGTCTCCTGAAGAAGCAGGACCTCTGGGGCTCGGTTTCTTGACTCGCTTTGTTTTCTCCAGCCTCGAAGGCCCCTCCCCACAATCATGACATCCACTCACGGTGCCCTATGGCCTGGATGCCGCCTGGTCCCTGAAGCCCCCGAATGCCCTCTCCGCCACACTCCCAGGACACAGGAGGACTTCCTGTCCCCTACCAATCTTGCTTGGTTCTCCCTGGAGGATTAGTAATTTGTATCTGTCTCTGTGCCCCTCATGAGAATTAGGCATAATTTTCCTCTGAATATACAGGGACCATGTATTATTTCTCTTTTATACATAATACTACTCACTGTTTCTGTGTGTACAGTATACAGGTTGAGGCCAACAGGTCACCTCAATGAGAATGTATAGGTTAAACAAAGCTCTTAAAATTATTTTTCTCACATTATGTGACTTCTAGGTTGTTAACCTGGTCATCTCATGTTCATTAGAAACTCTGATGGGCAGCTCTAGATTTCTTGATTAAAACCCTAAATAAACTGATTTAAGTTTTAGGCAATCTTTCAATAATAAAAAGGTTCTTGGTGATAAAGTTGCGGAACTATTCTGTTTGGTGCTTAATGAAAATATTTTGAAGTAATGCATGTATGTTATTGTCACTTTTTTATTATATTCAAAAGTTTGCTGTCAAAAATAAACAATGCATTTAAAACTATACAATTCTCTCTAAGCATTACTTTAACTGTGTCTCATAAGTTTTGATACTGATTCAGTTCAAAATATTTTCTAATTGTGGCTGTATTTCTTTGCCCCATTGATCATTTAAAAGTGTGTTGCTTATTTTCCAAGTAAATTGAGGATTTAAACATCTTTCTGTTATTTATTTCTACTTTAATTGCACTGTGGAACATACATGTATGACTTCAGTCCTTTGAAATTTGTTGAGACTTGCTCTTTGGCTCAGCATATGTTCTATTTTGGTAAAGTTCTATGCACACTTGAAAAGAATGTGCATTCTGCAGTTGTTGGGAATAATGTTCTGTGAGTACAACATTGACAATAGGTTAAGGGGTCAAGTTGATTCATAGTATTATTTAAATAGTCTATAATATTACCGATTTTTAAAAATCTGTTTGTTATATAGTGGGTGAAAGAAGGTTGTTAAATTTTCCAGCTATAAAAGTGATTTATTTTTCTTTTTTGTCCTATCAATTTTAGCTTTATATATTTTGAAGTTATATTGTTAACATAAATTTAGAACTGTTCTGTCGTCCTATTGAATTGACCCTTTTATCATTATAAAATGTTCCTTTATCTCTCATAATACCTCTTGCTTTAAAGTCTACTTTGTCTGATATTAATATATCAGACTTCTTTTAGTTAGTGTTTGCACAGTGCACGTTTTCTTTCCATATCCCTTTATGTAATACTTCTTGTGAAAACTATATATACTTGAGTCTTTTTTAAAATCGAGTCCAAAATTTTTGTATTTTAATTAGAGTACTAAGTCCATTTACATGTAATTAATTATTAATATTTAAGAACACCTTCCTGTTACTGGTTTTCTATACATTTCATCTGTACTTTTTTCTTCCTTTATTCTTCTTTGTTTGATTAAGTTTTTATTACTCCATTTTATCTTACAGCTTTTGTATAAACAATTTTGTAATTTTTTAGCAATTATTCTATACTCTCTTGACTTACTACAGTTCACTTTTATCACTTCCTGAACAAAACAAAAGTGTCAGTTTAAATCCATTTACATCTACACATCCTTTGTTCTATTGTTTTCATATATTTTAATTCTACATGTATTTTAAGCCCCACAAGACACTGTTATTGTTACTTTAAACAGTCAGAAATATTTTACATTTACTCACATATCATGCTTTCCTATACTCTTCATTTTTTCCTGAGGTTCTATGTTTCCATTTATCATTTTTTTTTCAGACTGAATCATTTCCGTTAGCATTAATGTACTATAGGTCTACTTGTGATATAATCTCCCACCTTTTGTCCAAAAATATCTTTATTTTGCCTTCACTTAAAAAATATTTTCACTGGGTATGGAGTTTCAGGTTGGCAGTATTTTTTCTTTTCTGCATTTAAAACGTAAAGATGTCATTCCACTGTGTTCTGATTTTAATAATTTTCATAGCACAGTCAGCCATCAATCTCACTATTGCTCCTTTGAAGTAGTATGGTTCATTTCCTTTCAGCTATTTTAAGATTTTCTCTTTATAGCTTGTTTTCACCAGTTTCACTGTGTTGTACATAGGTGTGGTTTTCTTTATATTAATCTTGCTTGGGGTTCATTCAGTTTCCTGTGCTTGTTGAATGTGTGGATTGTTGTCTTTCATCAGTTTGAAAAATCCTTGGTCACTATCTTTTCAAATATTGCTTTTGCTTATTCTCTCTTCCCAGGATTCCAATTAGATGAAATGATTCAATCCCATGTGTCTCATTCTGTTTTGTTCTTTCCATTCCTTTTCTTTCTGTTCTTTAACTTGTACATTTTTCCATTGAACCAGAGTTCAATGTCTTTGAGTTCACCACTTATAGTTATTTGTTTTTGCTGAGCTTACTTTGCTATTAAACTCAAATCTTATTTTCACATATTATATTTTCAGCTGTAGAATATCCATTTGATTATTTTTTATAGATCCCAACTTTCTGTTCATATCCTTCATGTTTTCATCCATTATGTTAACCTCTTCCTTTATTTTCCTTAACATATTTATCACAATTATAAAATCCCTGTTTGGTAACTCCTAGATCTATATCATTGATGAATCTGCTTCTATTGTTTGTTCTTCTTTAGACACACTTTTTTTTTCCTGACTTTTCACATATATAACTTTTCAGTGTACTCTTAATATTGTGACTGTAACAATGATAAAACTGAAGTTGATATTATCTCTCTCCCATTAAAGAAGGGGCCCATCCTTTCCTCTATGAGACAGGTAGAGTGAGGAGCTGATCACTTCAATTAATCAGTTTATCTCTGGTATAAAATGTCTCAAGGGTGAACTCAATTGTGTATTTATTACAGCTGCACCCTATGCTCATCCATGGAGACTGCCTGCTAACCACTGCAAGACTGCAGAAGACTTCACTGTATATTCTAATTCAACTTCCTAGCCCCCTATACTGTCCTAAAGCTCAACAAACAACCAATGGGGAAAACTAGCTGTGTGTCTGAGGACTCCATAGGTTCCAGCTCACCATGCCAGACTACAAAACTCTAATTGGTTTCACTTTCCTCTGGTAGAGTCTCACTTCCATAGCAAGATTGATATTAAGCAAGTGTCCATTCTGGGCAACCACACTCAGGAAAGATGATTGCTAGCAATCTCAGCTCATATGGGCTTTTCTATTTCTGGAATTTCAGTTCATTTAGTCCTCTTTGCTTTCTTATTGATTCAGCCACTGTGTGTCTTTTAATTGGAACATTTAATCCATTTATATTTAAAGTAACTTTTGATAGGTATGTAGTTATTGTCATTTTATTATTCCTATTTCTTATCTTTTTTTTTTCTTCTTAAAGAAATCCCTCTAACATTTCTTATAATACTAGTTTGGTGGTGATGAACTCTTTCAGCTTTTTCTTGTCTAGGAAG